CAGGTCAGTGGCAGCAAGTATAACAACTACTTCTCTGCTCCTAGGTACTACTGCGTGGAGACCATCTGTGCTCCATGTGGTGTGGTCCTTGCCTGGCGCAAGTTTGCCAAGTCAGAAGGGGTGGCCAAGATTCTTCGGTTCCTTGAAGATGTCTATCCTGATCCTGCCTCACGCCCCAGCTACATTGCCATTGACAAGGGGTGCGCCTTACTCAAGCATATTGTCAGGCAAGGTCACTGGCCTGCTTGGGAGCCAACAACTAGGATTATTGTGGACTCATACCACTACATCAACCACCGGATCACTGATCATCTTTGCCGGACCTGGTGCAATCCAGCACCCCTCAATGGAGATGCACCAAATCTTGTAGTTGTTGCCAATGACAAGCAAGGCAACCCTTACTATAAGAGGGCTTTCAACACTCAGGTAAGTGAATTTAGTGGTCTAGCAGTCATACTTGTCTAATTTGAGCTTAGGCCTGTGAACAGCTCAATGCATGGATTGGAGGTTTCCAGACTGTTCTCAACCGAATGACAGTTAGCAACTTTGACTTCACGATGCATGTGCTGTTATTCATACACACTCAATGGGACATTGCCAAGCAGGAGGAAAAGAAGAGGAATCAAGAAGCAGGAATAGAAATGACAGACAGTGATGAGGAGAGTGAGGATGAAGAAGACTCAGAGAGTGAAGAGGAGAGTGAAGAGGAGGAGGAGAGTGAGGAGGAGGAGGACTAAATGTGTCAAAGTATTTACCTCTACTATGTATAAGTTGCATATGAAGTGCGCATGAAGCGCACATAAACCACATATAAAGTTCACATGAAGTGTACATGTATGTTATAAACTGCACATAAAGCATATATATATGCTGTATAAACCACACATGATGCTCATATAAAGTATACATTTACTCTATATAAAGTGCATGTAGTGCATATATAAATCACATGTAAAGCTCATATAAACCACACATGAAGCTTGTATGCACTTGTGTATGAGATAAACTCATAACTTAGTTGTAATCCATATGAATATAAACTCTTCATATGTGCTTCACATGGACTTCACATGAAGCACATATGAATGTCGCATATAAACTTCACATGCAGTTCATATAAGCTTTACGTGAAGCTCCTCAACAATTGTTATTGCCTCAAAGTCATGAAGAAGTAAAGAAAATGTAGAAGAAATGTAGAAGAAATGTAAAGCCATATGAAGGAATGTAAAGTTTCGCAAAAGAAGTGGGCTTTATATGACCTTTATATGAAATAAATGTACGGAAGATGTGAAGTCATGTGCTTCATATGAGCTTCATGTATAAATGTGGTAAAGCACCAGATATACACCAGATCTGAAGCCTGGGGACAAGGTTTACCTTGACGCCTCCGACATCAAGACAACACGGCCTTCTGCAAAACTCGGACATCGTCGGTATGGTCCCTACGAAATCGAGCGCAAGGTTGGAAACTCCGCGTATCGCCTCAAGCTCCCCTACTCCATGCGTCTCCTCCACCCTGTTTTCCCTGTCATCAAGCTACTTCCTGCTCCACATGATGAGATTTCAAGCCGTCATCCAGTACCACCTCCTGACCCTGTTGTTGTAGACGGCGAAGAGGAATGGGAGGTGGAGGCCATTCTGGATAGCAGGATCATTCGCAACAAGCTTCGCTACAAGGTTACCTACAAAGGCTATCCAGGCGAATGGAGTTGGGAACTTAAGGAAGACGTGCATGCGCCAGACTTGGTCCAAGAGTTCCACCGTCGTTACCCGCACAAACCTCGAGAGCACAGGATTCGACTGACAATCGCGGACTTCAAACATCTTCCATGGAGGCAACGTGAAATCGACAATGACCGCCCTGAATTTTGGCAGACCAAATGGGATATGTGGCATGCGTCGGGGCGCCGCACCTTGAAGGGGGGGTGATGTAAGGGGAACCCCCTATTCGAACCCCTAGGCATCACATGATAGGCCCCTTTTCTCTTTCATACCTTTCTGTTTTCGTTCTTAGCCCCTTTTCCCTTTCGTACCTTTCCATCCTTGTTCTTAGGGGATCTGGCCAGCAGATCTCAGCTAGGGCTGTCAGCTAAGCACACTAGCTGCACTAGTTGCACTAGTCACAGCCAAGCACACTAGCAGAGCTAGAGCGTACCAACCATACTATAGCCTGTCAGCTAGGCTAGTGGTTGTTAGTTTCTCTTAGTACGGTCTCAGCAGGCTGACCGTCATACTTCATACATATATAAGGAGGAGGTCTAGCAGGGGGATTCCTTAGATTTGTTCTCTTTGGATTCCCCTCTGCTAGGTAAGCAGTGCAGTTGATCTGTCTCTTACATATATTAATATATACTTTGGATTCCCCTCTGCTAGCCGTCAAGCACGTGGTGCCAGACCGCAGAGTTGCCCTTACACATCCGCCTCCAAGTTGGGTCGATGGACAGCCATTATCCCAATATCGTTTCTCCACTGCATTGCCTTGTTCCTAACCATACTGTACACCTCCGGAAAGGCAAAGCTCCTGCATTCTTGAATGTTCGTTGCAAAAAACTGGTAAAAAACATCATTGAAGCACTCGATGTGCCTCTACTAGTACTATGACGAAGTACAACGTTCGAAGGAGTCGATGGAGACGTGGTCCGGGCAGCGTGGTGGAAGGAAGGAAGAGCACAACGCTCACACTGCGGGCACCCAACTATTTTTCCACCCAAAAAACCCCGTGAGAAAGAGGGTTTGTAGTTTCCGGCAGGTTTTCCTGCCAGGAAGGCTTAGAGTTTTCCCGCTAGCAAAATTGTAAAAATACTGTAAGGGGAACCCCCTATTTCGCCATCGGGTCCTCGTTTTCGCCATCGGGTTCTTGTTTTCGCGTTCGGGCTGTCCTCCTACACGTCGGGCTCTGTTCGGGCTGTCTTCCTACACGCTGCCCGATCACTCCTACAAGTCCCCGACGCTGTCGCGAGCTTTCCCACGCATTATCGGGACATCGGGCCCCCCTACGCATCATCGGGTTCCCGATCCTATTACGTACGCATATATTCTACTTCTCTCTATTCCTATTTTATATTATTAGACCCCCTCTCCATTTTCCGATGCCTCCTATTCTTCCTACTCGTCGTCGGGACCCTCGGATTCCGATATCGGGATTCTCGGACCCCGATATCGGGCATCGGGTTATCGGGTGGCTGTACACGGCGCATTGCCCATTCGGGTATACGCGCCCGCCCCCTTGTGATTCCTCCCCTTCGTGTACTGTACAGTTCTTTCGTTTCGTTCGCACGCTCCAGTAGTATTAGCCCTCGCCTCGGCAGAGGGGTTCCTTAGACTTGTTATCTTTGGATCCCCCTCTGCTAGGTGCGTAGTATAGTCGCTGGATGTATTCCCTATCGTCTTATATATTATCTTTGGATCCCCCTCTGCTAGATCTCGGGCTGAGTGCTAGAGCGCGCGGAGGTTGCCCTTACAAATACTATGAGTTTTCCCTAGGTTTTGCTGAGAGAAAGATATTGAATTTTTCCTTGCATTTTGCGAGTGTCAAAATCTTGGGAAAATGATTTGTTTTCCGGGTGAGAAAAACCTAATATTTTCCGGGTGGTTTTTCTTCTGAAAAAATGCTAAGTCTTTCGAAAGGTTTTTTCGTCGGAAATTCTTAAAGGTTTTCAGCAAGTTTCCTCCATTTTTCTGGCTTTCTGTGAGAGACTAGCAAGGGATCCTTGATTTTCTGTCAAAAACCTTGACAATTTCCGAAAGAAAAACCTTTCGAAAGACTTAGCATTTTTCCAGTGGAAAAACCCACCCGGAAAATATTAGGTTTTTCTCAACCGGAAAACAAATCATTTGCCCAAGATTTTGACACTCGCAAAATGCAAGGAAAAACTCAATATCTTTCTCTCAGCAAAACCTAGGGAAAACTCATAGTATTTTCACAATTTTGCTAGCGGGAAAACTCTAAGCCCTCCTGGCAGGAAAACCTGCCGGAAACTACAAACACTCTTTCTCACGGGGTTTTTCGGGTGGAAAAATAGTTGGGTGCCCGCAGTGTCAAGCGCTCACGCGCTCACGCGTTGCGCGCGGATCACATGGCTGCAGGGTTAGGCTTTAGTGGCCAGGCACACACACCGCGATCCGTATCTCCCGTTTACGGGACCGTAACAACGGATGTCTGACGGTCAAATACCGTACCGTATACCGTACCCGCAAAGAGGCATCCGACACTGAGAACGGTACGGGGACGGCTCCCGTATTACGACCCCCGTAATTACGCTCATTACGGTGACGGGGAACAGCCCTAAATACACCGCGGCATACAGCAGGCAATGATTAATGCTACTTCAACTTCTATGTGCTCTTGTTTACTTCAACACATGCGCCAGACCGCTCAAGAAATACCTCGCGCTGAGACACACTGCCCGCCGACCTCCACATGTCAACACGCCGGCGTTCCGCTCTATCATGTCCGCATGTGGTAAGGTGCGTGCCTGTTTCCATCTTGTTTCGCTACAAACAAGCTATTTACGAGTTGATAGGCTCAACCAGCCGCCACTGACCGCAACCTTCTTGCCCATTCCAGTGCTGGGTGGGCAGTACTTCGAGATTGAAGGTACGTGCCTCTTCTTTCCTTGCTTTCATAGTTCTTCCCTCCTTAACCCTTTCCCCTGTTTCTCTTTTGTTGTTACAGCCGTTGCCATCGCCCCTGCTCCGCTATCCATCCTCCTCATTTACGCCTCCTTTGTCTTTGCTTGCCCGAGCCAACGATACCCTTGTTTCTTCTAGTCCTAGTCGACGAACGACTGCTCCACGTCATGCTCTCCCCGTCGCCTACGCTGTAGTTCCAAGTTGAGCTGGCAGGTTAGGACGGGTCAGTGTATAAGTACGGCGACGATCATCCGCACTGCACATCGGCATGGAAGGGGACTCCAGCTTCCGAGGTTTTACAACGCCAGGACGGATGGAGGCTGATTCCCGTCCAGAGGCGGCAACGATACGTATCCAGCGTGAGGGCTTTAGTCGGGACCAATTTTGACGAGGGCACGCACTCGCCCAGACCTGATGCCGTGGTCCGCTCGCCCGCGACGGGGTTGGCGTATGTCAATGAGCATTCGCCATTCAGGCGTGGTTCGGCTATTTCGCTCGTGGAGCGGGCGGGATGTTTCGTTAGTGGACACGGCGCGTCGAGCGAGGGTGAAGGCAACTTGAGAGCGGGGAGAAGTGTTGCAGTAGAGATAAGTGTGTTGAGATGTTAAGTGTGCGAGATCGAGCACACTCCTCGTCGTCATCGACGTTGCCTCCCTGGCCGTGGCCGTCAAGTCCGCAAACGAGCCCGATGGACCTGGCGCCGCTGCTCTCACCGTGGTCGCTTGCCGATCCGCCATTTTCAAGTCCCGTTTCGAACGTGAATCGCCATGGGCAGCCGAGCACTTGAAGTTCAATAAAAAGCTGGGTGGCTCCTGTGCCGGGTCCCAGCATTGGACCCCCTCTCCGGCCCTTTTCTTAACACAGCCGGGTTTTCGATCGGACATGCAATCCGGTCTCATTCCCCAACGAATCTCCGGTGCCTGGCTACGAACCTCACCTTGGCAGAGATGAAGGCCAACTGCGCGAGTCGAGTGTGCGCGGCGGAGTTGGGTTAGGCGAGAGAGAGATGAGGCGCGTGAGGTGGTGAGGCAGATGAGCTGTGACGGTCTTTATACCACGCATCGACGGGTCTGTCGTCGTCCGTGAAGCCGCTCTTTGTTGTGATAGGCTACTAGGACTTCCCCGCGCATCGAATTTTACCTACAGTTGAGGACAGTCAAAGTCCGCAAATTGCGTAGCGCTCGAACGGGATTTTTTGGGGACAAATTAACGCCAGATTCAGACTCAGGATAGCTGAAAACGTCTGAAAAAGCACCTCCGAAGTTTTTCCCACGAGAATCTGTCTGCGCCAATATTTTGGAGCACAAAATTCAAATTGTGTGTACCTCTGTGGGCCTTTTCGGGATGACAGGCGCCCAAGACTGGGCATGCAACCCAATTCTTACGATCCCCAATTGGAAGTTGCGGCGAAATATCACTAGCCTTTGTTTTGGAACTATCCCAAAAGCGCCTCAAGCCATAAATTCTCACACCAACGGCGTGTTCTCTCACGCTCTTGGTTTTCCCATCACGAAGCGCCCAGAAATATGAATATTTTTTCTCAGGAACGGCTCGATAGAAGTCCAAGATTTTGACGGGATCAACATGAGCTAATCAAAAGGAGTCGATTGGCATATTTTTCATGATTTTATCTAATATACTCGGCTTACGCCAAAATTTTGAGGGTATTTTCCAGTAATTCGCCTTTTCTGGGCGATCGGCTCGTCAGAATTGGACAAGCACGGTATCATTCGAAAGGGTTTTCAAGCCGGAATGTCTTCCGCGCAAGTCCGGAGCACAATAAAAAAACTTTTTATTTTAGCGGACTTTGACTGTCCTCAACTGTATACGAAGAAGCATTGTGTATTCCTCAGGGTATCCGCCGACATCAACAGGCCTCGGGTATCGCAGATCCTGTAGCGTTGATCAGAAATATACTATGAAAACGGGCAAAGTACGGTCGACTATTGAACGGTAACTACAGTTGAAAGTACTGGAATACGCTCCTTAGGCATGGTAGAAGCTATTGCATTGTAAATAGTGCCTGCAAGCAAGCTTTTTCCAGCGCCTCTTGAAATCCTCTGCCACGTCATCATACGTGATAACAATGCCATCAGGCCCGTCTACCTTTTCCTGCACGAATAATGGCCGAAATGGCTCGACCTGTGGATTTTGAAGCACTGGCTCCTTCGACCCGCTATTCCACCTCCAATCACACCACCTGTATTCGCCACCAACAAGAGAGAGCGTTGAGAGCGTCGTGCCTTGCAGCGCCGGGTATTCAGCAAACATAAACTTGGCTTGCTTCCTAACCTGGCCGGCTAGCAGCTCATATTCGCCCTCGGTTGTGATCTTCCGCTTGTTTTCAACGGCGAAAATGGGCTGGGTATTCCAGATGCCGAGCACCGGGTCCATGGTGTACAGAAAAATGATGAAGTCAGGCGATTGAGAGGTGGTTTCCATTTCACGCGGTTTATCAGGAGCCGTTGAGGGATCCCGCTTCATCACTGGTTTCTGTTGAAGCGGCACGAAAGGCTCCTGATCGCGGAAAGAGGGAGGAAGAGGGAGCCGAGCTCGCCGAACATTGCTGATAGTTGGCTGCTGTTCTGGTTCCGGTTCCGCGTCCGGTTCTGGACAGTCAGAAAACACGGCGCTGACGTCGGGCGTGGAAAGCGATTGCTCGCCCCGTTCTCCAGGGTAATTAATGATACTGTCCTGCTCCGCTATTCCTATGATAGGAGAAATCAGTTCGCGTTTGGGTGTGAATAAAGTTGGGCGACAGACCTCTATGCACTGCCCATCGATAATCGCCCCTGGTTAACTTTCCTTGGGGGTTAACGTCAAGCCAAGGGGGCTCCACCGTGGCTGTGGCTGGCGTCGACACAGTCGACTGCCCGACATGGCTCGTAACGCGGGGCCGCGGAAGCCCAGTGGTAGTCTGAGCGATCCAGGAAAGAAATCTGGTCGTGAAGGCATAGTATTTATGCTCTTGTGCGTCATCCGGGATAATATCGAGAGCAAGTTTTGCCTTGCCGATTTGGACGAGGACCTCAGACAGGAAAGATATCTTGCGGTCGGTAGTCCGAGCGATATGGGGTTGCTGAGAGGCGATGACCATGCTGGGTAGAAGAGCAGCGGATTATGCCAGGCGTGGGGGATGCGGTGCACAAAGCGTTTGTCCTGATTTTTATAAGCAAGGACCAGGCCAGCCTGAAGGTGTTTCCCGTTCAAGTAAATCCCCAAATTTAGCTCAGATAATGAACGTTTGAACGTCGAACAAGGAAAGCTGGTCGAGACAAAAGGCATGCCACTGTAGGAACAACAGGCGTGAAGCAAGGATCTCATAGAACAATACGAGAACAATCTCGACATCGAACAAAGCGTCTAAATTTGAGACAATACTGTCATCCAAAAAAGGATGGTGCCACCACAAGTAACTCCGAGTCGGACCCGTGGCGCCCACGTGACAAAAACCAACTTGCCTTTATATTCTCGACTCCTCTCAAGTTGCCACCGAAGCCATGCCCGACTTGGCCTTATCCATGTCCTCTCCGAACGCATCTCAGCATGAGCCTGCCCAGCCCACCATGGCTGATGTCGTTTCCCAAATGACGGGCGCGGACAGGCGTATTTTCTTACTACTTACGTGCCCTCCGAAATCGACCAACGATCTGCACGGTCGCCCATCTTTGAGGGTGAGCAGCTCAGATTCTTACTTCGACCACCAGGGAAATAATTCTCCTCCTCCAGAATGCCTTCATCAAATTCGTATCGCGTGCTCGAGCATACGAATACCTCCCCCTGAACACGGTACCTGACAAGAAAAGCCGATTTCAGCCTCCCCGCTGGCGCTATGGGTACAAGTTCACTTTTGAACAGGCTCTTGCGGTCAATGAGCAGCGTCTACCCCCCGACCAGCAATTATCGCCACTGAGCTGGTTCCGGGAGTGCTGTGACGACGATGCTGACCCCGTCGCCGAGCGCGCTCGTGTTGCGGGTTCATGGCTTGAAACCCGCGTGAATGTTATTATGGAGGGTGACCAAGAAGCGCAATGGTGCCACGCCTGGGAGAATGGCGAGAGGATTCTGGTGCTCAGTTTTAGGGACACATGGCGTCTTGGAGAAGCGCCGGGTGCCGATCAAGTCGCTGCAATCAGCGAGTTGATGTTTGGTAAATACGTGGAGCCCATGTGGTATGTGGATGCGTTCGATTGTTTCTGGGGGGCGAAGTATTAGCCAGTCATGGGCAATGGACTCCTTACGCCTCGCCTGTTCACCTTGTGGAGATTCTTTGCCCAACCTATTTTCATCATAGTATCGCGTCGCAATGTGATGGGTCGTTCATAAGTCGTCTCGCGTTGAAAGGCGTGTCGTGCTCGAGGATTAGAGTCCCAACATATTCACTATCTATCTGGCAGCGCGTCGGACACTGCTCGAACTGAAAGCCGTGAAAATATATTTTCTGATCTAGCTTTAGCTTAGAAACATGGGTGAGTCACTCCCGCAGTGCTAATGAGTGACTTTCGTCGTTTGCGATCCTAGCTACAAGGGTTTCGCGCAAGGCCAAATAATTAGTAGTCGTTCTATCTGGATGGTGACCCTTTATGGCGACCGCCTGGGCGTACAAGCTACCCACCGCCTACAGAGCTACTACCTCCACCGACACTCCAGGCGCACCGCCGTTGAGCCTGTCTGCGCCGGCATCACGTTCTGGCATTTCCTGATTTGCTATGAAGTACTCGCGTTTAGCAATCTAGATTCCGGCTATCGACGATCTCCACCTACTTCTGTGCTGATGAATGCGTTATTCTACTGCGTTATTACTCCGAACGTCCGACCGTTGTCTTCTGTCTTGAAGGGATCGTTCTTGACAAATGATTCATTGCCGTCTCAGCAATTGTATTCCTCCTCTGGAACCCTTCACGTTTCAATGTTCGCCCTCTATTTTTTAAGGTACTCCATCCGTATTTAAAGCATTCATCTACACATTCCTGCAGCACGATCGCGGAGGACGTATTGCGTCTATGGAGGGTGGCCCGACCGCAATGCAAGTACCAACGAACCCGTATTATTTAAGTAGGCCATAGTCCGATAACTACCTACTACAGGAACATGTCTGAATGTCCGTGATGCCAATAGTGTAATGCAAAGTAGCAAATGATGGGTTAAACGAATGTATTTATAAGGGTACTATATAGAAAAGTCGCGTGAGGATGCGGAAGGAACGTCTATGTTTCGAGTCTAGATATTTATTTTGGAAGTCCTTGCGTGCGGGTCACGTCAGCTTTCGGGAACTCCACCACGTTCGCCTCGCAAGCGGTTCTGCGCGTCGTACGTCAGTCTAAGCACATCTAATGATAAGAAGAAAGGCTTACTCCTTTGTAACGGTCGTCATCCTTTGTAACGGTCGTCAGGTCCTGCCCGCTTGGATAAGTGCGCAAGGTATTGACGAGCTCATCGTCGGTAGGGTTGGCATTCATGCAGGGCCCGCGAACGGATTGGCCGCCGTCGCCGTCGAGAACGTTGAGGCTGAACGCTGCTCCGTCATTCCCATTCCAACAGGCGGCAACGTCAGTACCGGTCCATCAAGTCCACCCGAATTAGCCGGCGATCCGCCGAAGCTTCTGCCAAAACACGTTGGGTCGACCTTCGGGTACACCAAGAGTGTCCGACACAATCCGTAGGGTCGTCCGGTCCTTACCGCTACCGATGATGTTATCGTCGCAGATGACGAAGATCAACTTGCGCTTGTTGTCACAGTGCCAGGCAGCGAGTGAATCATTTCTTCGACGCAGCGACTCTTCGCCTTCAGTGTAGCAAAGTGTAGCAAGGAACCTGGCACAGAACGAACTTGTCTTTCATCTCAGGCGTGCGAGTTGCAGTAAGGACTACAAAAAGGGTTAATGAAGCAGGAATATCTGTAGTACAGGATAGACTTACGCCTGAGGACCGTGGATGCCACGAGGACACCCGAAATCGCGAGTAGCAGGTAGCTCTACACGAAACACCTCGGCGTCTTCCTGAAATCCGTCTTCCCGACAAAGACAGCGTTGCGCAGGTAATTCTTATTCCGCGCGCGCACAGCCGGATTCATCTTGGTCATCACCGCCTCAATCGACTTGGTGGAGTCCTGGCCGGCTTGCTGCTTGAAGACATCCACGAGGTTCTCATCGAGGAACTTGTGATCGCCGTCGTCCCAATGGATGCCAAGCGTATTGAGGTAGTCGTTAAGGCCGTGGACGGTGTCGCCCCAGTATCCCACACCCTATAAAGCGCACATAAACATAAGAAATATGAACATTTTCCTGTAAGACATACCTTTGGATGTCCTGGTCACGAGCCTGCGCCAAGATATCCTTCTTCTCGGAGACGAGGGGTCCCTTCTTGTACTGGTTGATCCTAAGCGAGAATCTTGACGTATATTAGTCAGGCTGGGCACGCCTTGAAGTGAAAGAGCCTGACGCATGCGACCCTGTGGGAGGGAGGCCGAGGGTTGCGTTCTTCACGGTGAGCATCATCTGCAAGTCTGTGACAAGGTCCTGGCACGCAAGCACAAGAGGGGGAGGGAGATCCTGACCGACGACCTACTCAAGGGTATCCATCCCGCCGCTGATCAAACCCTGGACGTCGCTGTGGTCTCTGCGCACGAACTTCGAGACGTCATACACCTGACCCTGGATGGTGACCCAAAGTCATCGTCCGTGGTATGCAACGCGGCACAGTAGCCGGCGGAACTCAATGATGTAGAAGATGATGATGGCGTTGAGGATGAAAATGAGGATGGCGATGGCAAGCTTCCCCTGCCACGCCAGCCTCAAATCTGGCCGCTTCATCCACCCTACGCGCGTCAGCATAAACATCGGTCGTCGCGCCCCTCGCACTTCGTCGGCACGTCCTCCACCGCGTGGCAAGACGATTGGCGAGACTTGATGACAGACGTATATTGGAGCCATTGGTGACAGTGAAAACGTAGTGTATGTCCTCAAAAGACTATGAGGCAAGGTGGCCACGGGCGTACGTGCGTAGACATCGATGAGGTCCAGGAGAGGTGGTGAATACAGACAGACGCCCTCGTTCTTCGGGGTGTGTATGCGCCGTGCTCCGATGCCCCACCCTCGTGCTGGTTCTTCGAGTGTCTGTCCCGCCCTCGCCCTTCCGTTGCGCATGCATTGCGCTCCGCTTCAGCTCTTCGAGTGAGCATTCATAGAAGGCGCAGAAACCAAATAACGCACCTTTTGCGCTGATCTCAAGCTCCAGGTCAAGGCTTCCACGTTCTTGGTACAAGCGTGACGAATTGGTGAAGGGCGTGGAACGGCGACGAGTCCGCCGATGACAGGGAGGATGAGGTACTAGCACTATTGAACGTCGAGCACTGTTGTTGAAGGGCATTGTTAGTCCCATAAAGTACTTTGAGGGCGACACGTACCTTCATATCTTCTACATCGAGGACCAACTCCCGATCACCCTCATATCCCTACTCCTCCCTAACTGAGCCGCTCCCATGGGTATTGTCTCCGTCCGTCCGACCGGCGTGCAAAGGTGAAGCCGGTGGGCTTGATACCGCCGATTCTACCGGGCCTCGCTTCAAAACACGCGCGGGATGGCGTTGGAGGCAGTTTTAAGGTACAAGTCCGCCTTGACTCTGCGCTTCAGATGCTGAGTTATCGCGACATCGGAAGGCGTTTGAAGTTGACGAGCGCATGAGTTATCATCGCCCTTTGCAGCACTAATCCCACGTTGAAGTTGACGAAAGGTCGCTGGTGACGTAGAGGTATCGCCTTTGTGAACAGCCCGTAACATTGATGATCACCTTGGCGCGGGAGCTGCAACGTGAGTGTCGTCTCGTAGTCGGCGGGACGAGCGTCGAGGTTGATGGACGACGCAGAACAGGCCGGGGTGCCTTGAGTTGGACGGGGCAGCGATATTCTGCACAGTAGACATGACGCCTGAGTAGTCCCTGTATCAAGGACATCTCGTCGTCTTCCGACCACTGCTCTCTTCCTCTCATCATAGCATGCTAGCCTGCCAATCGGCCAAGCCGCCACCCCTCGAGCGCAGAGCCCATCTGTTCATAATCCGCGAACAGTCCGCAAGATGCGAACGCGACGACGAGGTTGTGAAGAAGCTGGAATGCCAGCATAAATCCTTGGTGGTCCAGGCAACGTAGCTAGCGTGGAGAAGCATCAACCTGGCCGAGCTGCGGGACGCGCGTGTCGACTGGCTTGAAACGTGAGATGGTATCTGCTGGTCTTAAGGTCGACGCCGGAGTGGGTGTCTAGAAAAATCAGGTAGATGAGAATGGGAGGGTTGAAATGAGAAAACCCGTCCATACCCATGGCTGTGGCAACCCCGTATCACACACTCGCATCATGCTCCCGCTCTGTCGCCTGCCTCCCCTCTCCAGGCTCTCCTAGCTAGACTTGGCCATCTGGATCCAATCCAAAACCCTTCGCAGTCTCCACGTAGCAGCAAGCAAATCCCAGTCTTCTGAGTGCTCAACTTAAGCTGCGTTCATGGATGTTAGGTTGTCGAGCTTCAGGTTCATTGTGGGTGCACGGAGATTCGTTTTATAGCTTCGGAGAAAGAGCGCGATCGAACCATTTCTGCGGATAAGGAGGTTTGAAACTTTGGATCAAGTGGGTGATGCGACGAGGGAGGTTGCATGCCGTGATGAACATTTGGAATGACCAGAGACCGAGAAAATCTGGACAAGCGCTGGTCTTGGCACAGGAGTCAGGACAGGTGAGTCGTGATCAGATGCATTGATGCGTGACGCGTGACGCACCACTGCCACGCGTCGTGTCTTTCCTCTAATCTCATCGCACAACATGGCCGCCTGCATGTCTGGGCGTCCTTAGGTACGTTCCAGCTCCTTTTTTCGTTCTTAATTGCTCACAACTACCTATAGTTATCAGCTTGACAGGCTGACCAGCTGCCGAGCCACTAGCGCTCAACAAGGCATACGCAGACGCCTCAACGACAAGTAGCCGCCAGCGGCCACGTCCACACCGTCCACACCGCCAGCTCAAGTACGATACCACCACCATCCGCTTTCACACACGCTGCACATATGCGTACACGTAGCGGGCTTTGCCACCGCATTGTAACCGTATCGAACATTGCCGCCCCACTGTATCTGGGCGAACTTAGGTGCTTGCCAGCATTTTACGTTTCGGTATTCTTACTCACAGATGATAACACCTTGATAGGTTCGAGCCACACCTGTGCTTCCCTCTGCGCGACCCACTCGAGCGCTACGCCGCCGCCGCCGCACCACCACCACCGCCGTCAGCGTGCACATGCCTGACCGATGTCATAACATCGCCGCCACCGCCCTCGACCCCTCGACTAACGCGTAGGGCAACTCGCGTCGACAATCCAAACGCCGCATAGACGTGTCGTTGCAACGAACGCTGTGTATGGCGCGTCTCAGGTGTCCACCACCTCCAACCCTCCCTCTGCGCCGCTCAACGCGTGCGGACGGCTTTACCAACACATATAGGCCAATCCCACGCATTCTGTACTTCGCCTTGTGCGCCGCTTCACGCGTGCGTACGACGGATTGTCCACGCGTCAATCAGACCTCGTCGCTCTCTGAGCTGAGTGTTCGACACGCGTAACAGTATCACTCCTTCACGCCCACTCCTCGCTCGCTGAACCCACGGGAACGTCGTCCCGTCTCCTCGTCACCACGTTAAAACCGCTGACTTGCCATGCGCGTACGGCTTGACGATGACGGTTCGACGACGGTGCCGCCCTGTCCACCCCCACATCACCGCATAGGCTATCCCGCAACATGGGTTGACGACTCCTCTCTTAGCCTCTACGCAGTCCATGACTCGAGTATATTGTAAGCCTTGACAGTGCCCCGTACATCCTGACTCGTTTACTTTGTTTCCCCTTTCCATTAGCTTGCCTTTTGTTTAAATAGTTATGCGTGAATTAACTACTGCTACTAGTTTGGCAAACATCATCGTGAATAAGGGCTACAATATATTAACCGCAATACCGCAACCTGTTCCGACAGAGAAATCTTGTAGATCGCTCCATCGATCTTTCAACTTCCCTCGCGGATTACCTCCTTTGTTCATCATCAGTCTCCCAGTTGACCGGGTACGTTGGATTTCGATGCAAGTCGATCCGGGTCTTGATTACCCGGACATCTACAAAAGGAAAGTCATCAAATAAAGGACGTCATGGGTGTCCCAGTTTCCTGTACAGTGCTAAACAAGACCGTACATGAAACTTTGACAGCCCCTATCTCGAGTTTGCGCGTGTACCCAACCTTTTCTTCTTTGGCTTTCAAGAAATCGGTGCGCTGTGGTCGCGTTCCCATATCTTGGTATCATCTTCGCGCCAATGTTCCTTATTTATTTCAGCACCGGTACCGCGATCTACTATCGGAGCACATCTATCGAAACCAAGTGCCTTCGCTTCGCTCGAGACTGTACGGGTTGTACTCAGGTATGTCGAGTCCCATTGTTTTGGGTTCGACCTGGAGCCTCAGTCTTATTTACCTAGGTTCCTTGCGCTCTTCGTCGAGTCCCTCGCCCGATTTTGGGACCTTTCCACTAAGAAGGTTAACTTTTGTCAATTAGAATCCTTTCCGAACTACAGAGCTCACCCGACAACTACAGGCATGCGATTCCTCTCCTGGCTGGTCGCGAGTCTCTTTGAGTTTTGTCGCGCATTTCGTGGTCCATCGTCCGCTCGCTGCTTCGTCGTCGTCGTGATTTTTCTGAGCCATGCAGCGAGCCCAGCTGTGGCGTCCAAAGTCTCCCCTCAATACCGGCAGCCTCGATAACAACCCGGCACGTAGTTGGGTATGCACATCGGCACCTCGAATGTTGTAGGATGTGCCCTTGTGCACTGAAAGCTCCAGCCCGCCACCCCACCCAAATGGCAGTACGAGGAAGCAAGTATACTCCGCCGTGTTCTCCAGCGCCAAGTCCAGAGAGTCGAGGTTTCTGCATAGAGTTCCTTCGGAAGTAAGTGGTGCTGTTTTATTTCCTGGCAAACGTCTCGTTGAGCTTTTTACAAGGTAAACTATACATCCGCATTTGCAATCCCTCGACGACGAATACCACCCTCCGTTCTCCGTCCATTCCTGCAGCAACGACACCGACAAACCTACGGACAGCTCAATGGACGCGCTCATTGGTCCCCACCACGCTGTCATCACCCCTCTAGAGCGGAGAGAGACGAGATTCACCCACCGAGTTTCGGGTTGGCACATCCAGCCATAGCGCAAGCCACTACTCCTACGAAGTCCCTCACCACGCCGATTCGACCTACACTCTCTCAGGCTCAGCAACATGCGCAGCAGCGAACATCTTCGACGCGTTGCCGCGGGAGTTGGGCGTTTTGGGATCAGGCTCGCGTTCATTACGGAGACAATCTCGCTCACCCTTGTGCCTGTCATCGAGGATGAGCCGTTTGCCTCTGTAGGTCGTGCTGCGCACAATTTTGCCATACCTGGCGGCATACTGATATTGAAAGCGGATATAGGCTCAGGTGAGTAACTCATTTCCTTATCGTTCGGTTCAACGTCTAATCCCGTCTTGTTTTCTTTGCTTCTCTCCTCTCTCATAGGCAGTATGCGCTTCCCCAGTTGACGCACATCCCACAGAGCACAGTCATACACTTCTCCCTGCCGCTCAGCACAGGTGCCAATGCTAAAGGGCTTCCGTCGCGCGTCAGGCTACACGCACATCCCTGCTCGTCTGCTCGTCCACGCAGGACACCGCAACTGGAGGAAAAATGGGTCGAAGAGGCGAGTTGAGAGGAACAGATTTACTTGCGCGCCCGATGGACCGGCTGTGCTTATTGTTCTCGAATACCGTGGGTTGCATAGGGATCAGGAGCGATCACCGCGCGATGAAGCCGATCTTCGAGTGGTGCTGCTGCCCCCGCGCGCGCTTCTAATTCCTCCATCCTCGACAAGTCTACCTCGCTCCAAGCGCGTGTCAGGATGAGGGCCCTCGTAACAAGGAAAGCATGCCCTGCACACATTCGCACCCCCGCGTCATTCTCTGACTTAGGGCAGCGCTGCCCTACGCTTTAAGCTCAGGAATAGACGACGCCTATGTCGTTACCCCTTCTTCCCCCATTGAACTCCGTCCCCGACCTGTTTTTCATCTCGCTCGCCATCCAAATGAAAGGTGGAGCTCCCGTCACCGAAACGCGTCTGGGACTCAGTTGATTCTCTACACATACGCGAGAGGCCGTCTTGCTGGACGAGAGGAATGTCAAGAAAATGTGGTCGCGCACCGATCAATCTGCCTGCTTTAACTCCTACGCGTGTTGCGTGGCTAGCCGCTAGCGAAAGCCACGGTCCTTGTTACGACGATAATGAAAGCCTGGGTTCGTTGCGCGATGTGGGTGGTGCGGGCGGAGGGAGCGTGGTTATCGCTTGGGAGATCATCCAGCGCGAGCTTGGCTGATGTTACCCGCGCAGGACCTCAAGTCGGCATTCTCTATGTCAAAGCTGTGCCAGCTCGTCTCCTTCACCCCTCTGCGATTTACCGTCGGTCATTCACTTTCACCTCTACCCTCTCAACCTTTTCTTCCCTGTGTAGTCATCACATGTCACGTATCTGTCGGAGAAAACCAAAGCCCCTGATCCTTGACGATCAGGGGATATCATGTAATCAAGCGAGAATTGATTGATCATTGCCTTATCGTCGGGCTTTTAAGTGGATCAAAGTTGATCAAGCTGGAAGCGGCTGATCAGGAAAAGATTTGGAGTCAGGTGATCAAGTATCCCACCAGTGATAAGATATGATCACCCGGAGAATCGTGATAAGATTTGATCAATCAGTTCCAAGAATCTATTATTTGATCATCAGTACATAAAAAGATCAAGCGCTTAATTGCGTGGTCATTATTAATTCCACTGATCAGCGCCTGCCAGAGCTGGAATCGAACTTAGGACCTGCCCAAGTCTATAGTACCAACTATTATTACACTATACCACTACACTATAATCACCATTATTATTTCCTTATCACGCATAAATATGATACAAGGGCAACCCATACTATACCAAAAAACACTGAATTGCAGGCCAATGGGGGACACAATTGGGGGGACAGAGTGAGACTAAGGCTACGAAAAGGCTACGAAAAGGCTACGAGCGCGTACGGTGACTTACACGGCGGGGTTGCGGCGCAGCTGCTGGCTCCTCATTGCCCTGTGTTGCAGCTCCCTTGCCTCGGCCTCGCCCTGCGCGTGCCACCTTCTTTCCACCTCGCCTGGTGGCTGACAAGTTCGCAGAGGCTACCTTGAGCTGAGGGTTATCGATGAAGGGTTCAATTGGAGGCGCCCCATTGTCTGCAGCTGCGGGCGTCGGGTCGGAATCATCTATGTCACTGTCGATAACATTGTCAAGATTGAACGTTTCGTATTCAGCTGCCGGCGGTCTCGGGGGCTCGGGATATGGATCATTGGGGTTCTGGCTGCCATCGTAATCGTAAGGTTCGTCGTCCGAGCTTTCGATATCGCGGAGGGCGTCACGAAGAGAGTGGACACCGTGTTGAGACTCCGCTGGCGCTGTCGTACCGGATCCCACCGTGCTCGAGTGGGTGATTCCTTCGAAAACGGTTACTGCATGTAGACGAAATGCTTTGCGAATGGGGGGGGAGTCGGGGTGTAGCACTAGAGTACCCTTGATCTTGTAGTAGATTTTGCGGTAAGGAATCAGGCTCACGAGGCCCGTTTCGTTCAACGATGAGTCAGGAGACAAGACATAGATAGCCTGATAGTAATATCATGTGAGTACTCGAACAACAGCAAAAAACGATGGACAACGTACCGCAATCACCGCAAATGCCAGAGACCCGGGCGTAAGCTCGTTGATACCCCACATTTTCCCCAGCGTCGATGTCTGCACCGTTGCCTTATCAAGCGAGGCTATACCGAAGAGGATGACTCGCAAAATCTGCAGGTCGTCAGGATGAGTAACCGTTAACAAAGCGAACACGCACCCGGCCAAGGATAGGATTGCAGAACACCTTCCTTGGGTTCGAAACGAGATCTGGGTAAACGAGAGGCGGGACTTCGGGGTATTCCTTGTCACCCGGAAACTTGAGGAGGGACTGAATGATTGTGGAGTCGGCGCGGGTTGTCGGGGATGTCCAGTCCCTCGCGGGTATTCCGTAGTCCTTGAAGATTTGAGGAGCCGCCCGTTTGATGTACTTGAGGGCGTCTGCCCGACCCTCTCCCTGCTTTCTGCGCAACTAAATGAAATGTGAGCTATCATATTCAGCACTATAATGAGAGACTCACCAAGCTGCACCAGTCACTTCGTGCCTGGAGGAAGGAGTGATACTTCGCAGGTATGAAATCGTAGATGGCGGAGGTGATCCCAAGTTTGTATGTCTCGAAAGACACATAGCGCTCCTCGGAGTCAGGATCAAGGTCGGGGCGCGGCTTCAAGAGAGTGGTTGAGTCGGACCAAGCTTCGCACATGATTGCGAGCTTCTTGCCTAGCTCTCTCGCCTCGTTGCTATCCGGAATGGTGAGCACCGCACTTCTCTTAGCTCGTCCGCGCTTGTCCATATTCTCTGCGACGAGAGTGGCATTGTCGCGCGCTGCCTTGTCCTTATCGACTACAAGCGCCGCCAATTGTAGCTGCATTTCCTCGAGCCGCTGTAGGATAATCATCAGTCAATATAGGAAATCAACACGAAGAGGAGTACGTGCCTTACGAAGTGTTCTGGGGCTCGCGTCGGGACCAGGCAGCCTGAGGTCGACTTCGAGTGACCCATCGGACACATCAGAATCAGACTCGTCGTGCGGCATGCGGGACTCGGAACGTGGATCTTCTGGGTGGAGTGGACTGAATCTGCGCAACAAGTTCTGTGGCGAAGTTAAAGGGAACTCACTGTACCTTTTATAGCTGATATTACGTCTGGCTAATTTGGAACAGCTGCAGCATGCAGTGCGCCACAATCAAGGTGGGCCGTAGTCGTGAGGCCTCAATACGTCTTCGTGCAGGTGTTGGCTGGTTGCCGCCGCAGGTGAGATGTCGTACCTGAAGGCATGGTTAATTTGTTGTGTCACAAACACGCATGCATGTATGGTGTCGGTGAACGAGGCAAGTGCACGATGATGGAGTGCTAATACAAATACTTACGTTTGCTGTGTTTGCCGTAGTTCGAGGTGGTAAACTGTGATCGGTATTAGGCGTGCCTTGTCCGAGCGCTCCAAGTAAGCGAACAATGTCGGCTAATTTAACAGTAATGATTATTGTATTGTCGGTTACCTTACCACACAATCTTTCTTTTTCACTTAATACTACGCCCCTTCACAAGTGATGCTCGATGTGCAACAAGCTCAGACTCTACATCCAAATTCAATAAAAGATGCACATTCAGATGACGTAAATAGTGTAATGATAAAAATTTCAATTATTTAATCAACCGATACCTAAGAAACATATCACCGTCAACTGTATCTACAAGGAAATAGTCTCCTTGCTGAATAAAGTCAGGAACTACAAGTGCACCTCGTATAATGGAGGATAAAAAGACAAACTCTGCAGATTTCCGGGGTCGCCCTCTGAGACGAAGCAATTGCAGGTCAATGTCTTTCTGCTGCCTGACACCAGAGGGTCGGTCAAGAGGATGCACAAGTGCAATATCATATGTGGCCTCATCCACTGTAATTGAGAACACCATCAAAAGTTGCGCAACGATGTCTGCGCCAAGTGTCGTTGGACGTGCAGTCTTGATTATAACGTGATCGTATCGTGGTGCTCCTTGGAATTTTGGATTGCACCGAAGCAAGTTGGTATCTTGCCGCCAGTCAACAGTTGACTCATAGTTGATGGTCAAATATTTCCCAGGGTGAATCTTGGAAATTTTGAGATATGAATTCCATGTATAGTTGAAGACATACCTTTGTAAGCTGGTCACCTGGAGTTCGGAGATACCGATATCCTGGCTGTTTCTCCACATCCAACTCCCTGTTGATAAATTCTGAAAGGCGTAATCGGAACCTTTCGAATGCTGCATCTGCTTGATGGTTTGCTTCAACCTCAGCAAGTGTGATGGGCTTTGAACGTGAACCAAGCCTATAATGTCCAGAAGGTGGTTGAACATCATCACCATCATCTTCATCCTCCTCATCCCTGTGTGCCAAAACTGCCTCCCTTGAGGCATCAAGAACATTGATTTCATCCCATATGAATTCAGAAACCTGTTTCAGATGGTCAATCAACAAGATCTGCAAATATCAGTAATATAGTAATAACACGATAATATTGAATCTTACTCACCTGAGGTGCAATATTCTTGAAATTGGTTCGCCTACGGTATGTCGTTTTCAAGCCACCATGGGATTTCTCATATGGCTTCGTGCTATAGTTGCGAGTCGCACCTTTCCGTTCAATATCATCAAACAAATGGACGTAGAGATGGTTTTTTGGAAAGTTCCAATTCTTGTGGAACTCTGGCTTTGTCTTTGCTTGATACTCCTTGATGTTGTTAGTTTCGGTTATACATTTATTATAAAAAACATACCTGGAGAAGTATTGACAGTTGTTGGACTTCATGTCGACCGGCCAAAATGGTCTCAGAAGTATGAACCTGAAGCCCAGCATACATCCGCAAGTTGATATAACACCGCATGCATTTGAGAAGGATATACCCTGCAGCATCTACTTGCCGGGTGAGAATATTGTGGGCTGCAAATAAAATACACTATCATTGTGTTAGCACCATATAGAGAATTAGCTAGCATGATTCACCTTTGATATATCTTCACTCTTGGAGCCATCATTGAATGACAATGTAGTAATTGCCTTGAAGTGGTTAAGACCACTCCATCGAGGAAAGGCCATCATTCTATTGATAAAATCTTCATTATCAGAGGCGGAGAATAATATATAAATGAATAAACAAACTGATTATCAAGAGTTGTTAAAGACTTCCGGCCAAGAGCAGTGACATGAAGGAGGATTTGTTTGAAGAGATGATCATCAAATAATCCTCCATCAAATGTATGCAAGCAGTCAAATGAGGTACTGCGATAAGGATCAGAGTTGGCGATTTTCCAAAATACATTCTACGGAGGGGTCAATAACAATACTTTGGGTGGTAAAGATCACTCACATCAATGCCACGTAAACCATATTTCTTGAGCAGATTATTGGATTCATCCACGGTCTTCATTGCCATGGCATCGTTGTATATCTTCTTCATAGTAGCTTGGGTACGAAGTGGATAAGTGGTATTGTGGATGGCCAACTTATCATCTGGGACCAAGCAAACGGGGCAAGGGAAGTAGGAGCCAGTCCCCCTTGTCAATGTCATCACACAGCTAAAGCAATAAGTTAGCAAGGCCAAATAGCAGATATAATGAGAATACGTACACTTCCTCATAATCAGCAGACTTTATGGGAATGCAGGGATACAAGGTCCGCTGAATACTATCACCACATTTCACCGCAAACCCAGTATGAGAGTGAGTGATAATATCCTCCAAGATAACCCCCATTGCAAGGTGGTATATGGTGGCTTTATGATTTGTCCATTTTGTTTTGTGTGTCTCGGACGCCAACTCCTCAATCTACATATTGTGTATTAGCGGTGGACAACATCTAAAACCACTTTACTCACCACTGGTAACCATCCAACCATAAACCCACCACCTGGTCCCTCACCATTACGGATATCAATGTTCAGATTGCCAACTCGGGCAATGACAGGATAACCTTTAGCCGTTCCAAAAGTCGAAAGCCGGGTTTTGTCAGCATATATGATTAAGATGAGTGGCTTTCCACCATCAGGTAGGGTTGACTAGGGTAGAGTTTTGTTATTCATTAGCAAAGTGAATGGTGGCTTACATTAGACTCACCTGAAGCTCCCACCAAAGATCGCCAGTGACAAGTTCATCATAGAACCGTATCCAAGACTCGCCATTGAACTTATACAACCGCTTTGCGTCCCATTCAAAGTGAGGAGCAAGAGAGGGATCTTGTACGAGCTTCATGACCCAGTCCCAAACAGGGCGTCGCCACACATCATAGCTCAACTGATTACCCTTATACATATCAGAGACGATGTGCTTTGTGAACTTGACAAGGATATTATTGAGCAACATATACATATATATATACATCTAAGAGAGACACACCCCAGGCATTTTGTCCGCAGCAAGCTTCCAAATGTTCATCATCTCCTTGTATGATTGCAGTGTCAAAACACCACGGTTGGGATCCCTTCCAACAGCACCATAAGCAAGTTCAAGAAGAACATCAACAGTCTTCTCATTTAGTGACTCAGTAATGGCGATAGATGCGAATTCAAAGTCACGGCGAGTCCGGAAAGGTCGCCATGGTTCATCGTCAATGATATGGTCAACTCGCACCTTGAGATTGTGGCCGTATTCATGAAAACGGTCAATCGATGCCGGACGTTGGCTTGATGGATGATATTCGCACTTGATGTCATCCATTTGAGGCCCCTGTTCACCTACAGAATCAAGAATATGAGATTTAACTAAGTCAAAGGTGCAAATAACCATACCTTCATCTATAGGAGATACAGGAGCCGAACCATGGCTGCTATCACTATAAGCCCCAGTGTCGTCAAAGTCCAGGGCTGGTGGTGGCGGTGAGGGAGAAGATGGTGGTGGAGAGGGAGGGGAACTGAGGGGCTCTGGTGCTTGAGCAGTAAATGTCGGGGAAGGTGGATGTGGTGGCGTGGTGACCTGCGACGCTGACGAGGCTTCATTACATCCATGAGACCCAAGCTGAGCATTTCCAATGGTTAATGTACTCACCTCGATCCCCTTTACGGCTGTTTAGAATTTCCTGCGCCGCGCGAAGCCGTTCCTTTGCCAGAAATTCATTGTCTTTTGCTCGGCTGGTCTTCTTCAGTTTACAGGTGGCCATATGTTTCTTCAACCCCCTCTGCTTGTAGAGGCCACCGCATATGGTGCATGCTACTGAGCCTGTAGTTGCAGCCAAGTCGGACATTCTGCAAGCCTGACGATGTGGTGGGGGCGGGGAACAACGATGGGAGCAAGGGGACTATGAGAGTGAGACGGCGAGACGGCGAAACGGGGAAACGGCGAGATGAGATGATGGCGAAACAGGGAAACAGCGAGGTGGCGAGACGGGGCGACGACGAAACAGGGAAACAGCGAGATGCGACGACGGCGAGGCAGGGAAACGGCGAGACGAGACGACGGCGAAACAGGGAATTGGGGAGACGGCGAGACGGGGCGACGGGGCGACGACGAAACAGGGAAACAACGAGACGGGATGACGGCGAAACAGGGAAACGGCGAGACGGCGAGACGGGGCGACGACGAAACGGGGAAACGGCGAGACGGGATGACGGCGAAACAGGGAAACGGCGAGACGGCGAGACGGGGCGACAACGAAACGGGGAAACAGCGAGATGCGACGACGGCGAGGCAGGGAAACGGCGAGACGGGGCGACAACGAAACGGGGAAACGGCGAGACGGGGCGACGGGGCGACGACGAAACGGGGAAACGGCGAGACGGGATGACGGCGAAACAGGGAAACGGCGAGACGGCGAGACGGGGCGACAACGAAACGGGGAAACAGCGAGATGCGACGACGGCGAGGCAGGGAAACGGCGAGACGGGGCGACAACGAAACGGGGAAACGGCGAGACGGGGCGACGGGGCGACGACGAAACGGGGAAACGGCGAGACGGGATGACGGCGAAACAGGGAAACGGCGAGACGGCGAGACAGGGCGACGGTGGGGACGAACAGGCAACAACGGGTAAATGGGGGAACAGGCGAGGGTAGGACGACGAGGCGACGGGTGAGGGCAAGAGGGCAATTCAATGGGGCAACAATGGGAGCAAGGGGGGACAGCGAGCAGGTGCTCGATGGCTGCTAATGTCTGCTCACGTCGGCTGGCGTGCTTGGGATGCTGTGAACACAAAGACCTGTAATGGTGTCAATGGGTAGTGTGGAAGGAGTACTGGAACATACCTGACTTCTTTCTGGGTGTTTGGGAGCAAAGTAGAAGGAAGAGGGCGGGGGACGAGGGTGAATGTACAGAACAGAAAGCACCGTGGACGTTTGAACATCCATCAGCGCGTGCATGGGAAGACATCTGATGTGTATTAGCAAATGGAATCCTACGCTTTTGGTAATCACTTACCAATGGTATGGACGCGGGTTCGTTCTTTATCATCGGGGCTCGATATCAGGCTTCTCAGCCATGCCGAGCGGACCACTTGATCAACCTCGATCAACTTCATTGTCCTTGATCAGGGGCACCCCATACTTGGACTTGACTGACCCGGGCCGATGGATCTGACCAAGACAGATAAGATGCGGGGCTGCCATTGATCAAGTCCTGATCAGGCGCTGGCCAGACCCTGGTCATCAAAAAAGTTGATAGGCGCTTTACCGTTTCTCCGACATCTCTTCCACAGTTCCACTCTCATATTAACGCTATCTTTCCTTGTGGACTCTACAATTACTTTTATCGGGCTGGTTTCGAATTATCTGTCGACGTGGTTCTCTCTAGGTGTATGCTTGGGAGGTGTGCGGCGCACGCAGCACTTTGACGACATCCACACCACGTCTTCCCAATGTCTCTGCATCCTCTCATCGATCTTTTGGTTCGGCTTCCTTTACTCTCATGAAATGAGAGAGTACACTGGGTCTACATCGGAGGTGGAGCAGCTCTTGTTTGACTCAATGAGGATAAGACCTTGCTGCGATGGCGTCGGGAATACTATCAAGTCGGTATGTCCTGCGTTTCGGTATCATTTGGTTGTGGCTGGCTGAAAGCTTTCGTTTTTGTAGGTCGTTGCTTCGATCGAGGGAGCTCCTGAGATTCGTGGTGAGTACCCTTCCAGTGTATGTATGCTCGCTCTATGTGCTAAGTTGTCGATCTTGACTTTCTCCACGCTTAAGAGTCATACAAACTCCCATGACAGAGGCATCGAGTTGTTTGATGGTGCGCCGCCCCTCGCAACGCGTCCCACGTCTTTCAGGAGGAGTCAATGCGCCGCCCGCGCAGGGTACGCTGCCTTGCCGCACTCGGAGGTGCACACCTCCCAGAGTCCCGTACCTCACCCCCAGGCGGAATGACTGGCGTCCCGTTGACCTTCATATTGTATCATCCCCAGATATTCAATCGCTCGCATTCTTCTCTGAATATACTTGCGATTCCAACCATCTGTTGCCGCGTTCCACGATTTTTAACCTGTATCTACTCTACTGCGCTGACACCTTTACTTTGTTCCACTAATTAAGTACTGCTATCACTCCTAAGTAGCTCGTCGACTTGTGGTCAAACTTTGCTCCGTTGGCGTTGAGGCCTGAGGCCGTATGCCGACTGTGCACTCCGATTCCGATCAATCCCAAAGCCCATACTCCGCCGACGACGGGACTGAAGTATGGTTGCGCTGGAGTTAGTGCTAGACGAACCCCAAGTATCCTAGGCGAAGCGCACTCCACAATCTCCAGAGCCTCGTGTTTATAGTAGACAAGATGCCCCGGACCTCACATGGAACGTGCCGGAAACACAATTGTCAAATTCGCAATCCTAACCACCTCCACTAGCACAGCTGCAACCAAATACACTACCAGACCCGACGTCTTCGCCGAAGGCGGGACTTCAACGAAAGCTCCCCGCAACGCCGAACTCTTTCACGAAAATCACACGTATACCGCTTAAACCACCACAGTTGGCACGGGAGCTCTCCAGCGACGGATCTGACGATGGGGCACGCCGCCGCCGCCGCCCGCGGAAGGAGTTCAAGTGTCTCCCTGTCATGACACCTTTTTTCTTCTACCCACGTCTACGCCGCGAGGACTCGATAGAATCTCATCAGTCCGATACATCCCCCCAGCCCCCCAGCCCGCTTTGATCTGGTCGAGGCTTCGCCTCGCTCTCAGGTCAGATTAACCCAATACCCTTTTTTCTTACTCTGATGCCACTGCTCCTCCCAGAGCTTTCCTCCTAGTCGCCCGCCCTTCCTCAATGCGGCCCTCACCCAGCTGAGTGCCGAATCCTATGAGGCTAACTTGGAAGAGGTTTGGGCCCCGAAGGAGGTTCGATCCTAACGCCTCTTGACACGCTAAGAGCCATGTCTTCCCTTCTCGACTTTCTGTCTAGGCCTGATCTCCGAAGCACGACGCCTCGCGTCAATCACTGTTCATTCACTCCCAACCCGTTTCCTCTCTACAACCACCTATCGACGCGTTACCGCTGCCTCTCGCGATTCCAACCAGCGCTCTCTGGCCGTAAATTATCCCCATCACTGCTTATAATCCATGTCTCATTACAATGGACCCGCATCTCGTAAGCCCTCGGGCTAGGAGGTTGGCATTGGCATGCCTGTCAGTGAAGATCCAAAAGGTCTTGCGGCGCTCAAGCGAGTGGTGTAATCGGGATGTGCGGTATCTGGCGTGGCCCAGAAGGTGGCCTACGCCCTTCACCTCGAATCAGAGTCAACAACAACGACGCGGCACTCGCAAAGTGCGAGTCCCAGGCCGAGTCTTATTGTCATGCTGGGTCGACGATCTCGCGCACGAGGAATTGGACCCAATGCTCGTTTGGGCTCGTGACAGTGTGAACGATTTAAGGTGGGGCTATTGGGCAATGGTGGCGACCCGTCATTCGTGGGGTGTTTATCGACAAGCTGGGATGCAAACCTCTTAAGCATCGCTCGATCGTTTGCATCCACGAGTGCACAAAAGCACAGCCAAGCTATGACGACATGGGTGGCTGGAAGATGATCAGAGGGGCAGGGACGCAGTCTGGTGCTCTGCGCAGATGGCTTTGGAGCTAGCATGGAGTGACCAAACTCAAAGCTCATTGACGGAAAGCAGGAACGCAGCACCGTTATTTGGCACACTGCGTGGCCGAGTGGATGGTGCGAGGAAGCAACTTGTTTGTGTTGGCGAGGACAGAACAGAATTGAGGGCGGTTGGTTGGTAAAGATGCGAGCTGTGCCTGGACCACTATACAGGTAAGCAACTTGCATTTGCAGATTTTCGGATGCTTCTTACACATTACTTCTCAGCTGAGCGACGAGGTCAGAGTGGATGATGGTGGCAGTGTGGTGAGATGAGTCACCCTGTATTACTATCGGTAAGGTAGACTCACGGTGTCAGTGACGATAGTCATCGCCTACCGATAGCTATCCAGTTGCACAAGGCGGGTGTTAGTTAGAGGAGGCTGTGGTGTGGAGGTCATCTTGGAGGCGGGCTGAGCTCAACGGCGCAAGGACGTGAGGTGGAGGGCGAGTTTTCGAGCGAGAGCAGAGCCTTTGTCGTATACTGTGTAGGCAGAGGGAGTGTAGACGACGGCAGCTCGCAGCGATGAGCGGTCGACATCTGTTAGGAAAGCTGAGGGAATCGTTGCTGGTGAGAAAAGGGCTATAGCAGCCCAAGATAAGTTTGCTGTGGGCGTCCAGGGCGAGTGTAGAACATACGGAAGCTGCAACGGTTCAAACGGCTAAGCATGCCGGCACCGAAGAATGCGGGAGTGACTGTATCGATGTTGAGTTAGTAGGTAAATTCAGTTAGTCGGATGGTGGAAATAGTAGATCATGAAACCAAACTCTGAGCAGTACAGTTCTTCAGTCCGAGGATGAATTGGGCTCTGTTGATGCAAGTTTGGTCAAAGTTTGGCAACACTGATGACTGGAGGTTCAGATTCGCCCTGCACCATGCTGTCGAGACGGTATATCCATGACGACAAACCTTCAGAAGATGCCAAGAAACTTGTTGGCCGTGTTGATCCAAACAGTCAACGGTGTCTCATCGAGAACCGCCAAGATCTCGCTGTCGAGCATTGTTACCTCCTTCCAACATATCTGTTGCGGAATGAACGAATCGTAGAAGTCATCCCTTCTTTGACTAAATTGACTTATTGGACTGGCCTCATGTCCCGATGTTGTAGATGTCGTCTCTGGAGTGGTTCTGGGGGATGAAGCACGGCTCCCTGAACCTTGATACCAGGTACAACGTCTTTCCAAGTAAGTTTCTCCTCCTCATGAGCTTCCATACGTTTCACCTGAGACTGATTGGTCTCATAGTCAGTTCTTCGCTCCTCCGTCTATATGAAGAGAATAAGTGGGGGTTACTCCCATCAGATGACATTGTTCATCACTATGCCCGAGGACTTAGTCTTGGTTTTGCAAGCCGGCCTAAGGGAGACACTGTACAAGTGCGTACTTGAGCTTATCCGACTCTTATCCGTGCTGATCTCTTCTCCAGAATGGCGTCTTCACATATAGATTCCTTCCACTTTCCAAGGCCATTGAGTCTATGGGCATTCTACACCAGCATGATCATCCGACCCCTCATCCTCCTACACCAAGTAGCTTTATCACATCCGTCCATCCATTCTCAGAGCTTCAGAACCTCGAGTCGCACCTTCATCCCAAGTTCGCAATCGCTGCCCTTGGTTATAAACTGGGTTTGGTCGATCAGAATCGACGCAAAGAGCTCCTCCTTCATTGGCCCATCCTTTAGACATTGATGTCCGTTCATCGTGCTTGGATGGTATCCGTTCCGGCGGTTGCCTGCGATCACGAATCCTTCGCGTCTCTTTCAGAGTCTAGAAGCACGTCAGACTCAGGCTATGGCGGCGGAATCAGCGAAGGTACTATCCCGATACGCCCACGTCCAAGGGTATCTGCAAAACGGGAAAGGTCTGCCAGCCTTGATGAGCTGTCCATGTCTTCACAGAAGCGCGCTCGACTTTATGCTCATGCTTTGTTATGTCACGACCGACGCAGTGACAGAAGTGGATGGACCCGGAAGAGAATATCTGATTGGGCTGCATCGTCCGCGTGTACTTTCGATTTGTAGTTAGTGTGGCTGGATGCTTATGTCATGTTTTTGCTTTTTCCTTGAGGCTTGAGAAGATCAGTGCATGTGTGACACGTTTGGCATCGAGGATAGATTTGACCCACCCATCCTCGTATCAACCATTCATGAGCCAGCAAAAGACCCCAGAATCCCGCCTTGGGTGCCCTCACGGGGCACTAAAATCAGAGTTGACTCTGTTGATCCCAATCAAGGCCGCTGCCTCATCGAAAACTGCCTAAAGTTTCGGGAGGTTGAATACTGCCATGTTATACCACGAAGCTTTACAAAGTTCACCGACAATGTATGTCTCCAGATTAGTCATTGCGACTAGCAAACTCACTCAATCATCGTAGATGACAAATCTTGAGTGGTACTGGGGGCTGAGACATTCAACCCTGGACCTGGATACGAGGCGTAATATTTTGCTCGGTAACCCAGGCTCTTTCACCTTGATATCTCAGGATTAATGACATCATGCGATTATTTAGCTGGATCTTCTCTGCACGGCCTTCATGACAATCACCGTTGGGGGTTGCTGCCACCCGACGATATAATCAACAAGTATGCGAACAACATTGACGAAGAGGAGCACTATCAAAGGGGGTCTGTTGAAGTCCCCGTAAGTACATCCAAGTATTTTTGCTTTATTGCCTCTGATTCAATAGCGTATTATAGGACAGGGTCTTCTCATACCGACTCATCCCGCTTCATCCAGGCATGGAAACCATTGGCATTCACCGCCAGCTGGGACACGAGCCCGACAACCTTACTTTCACAACACATGTATTTCCGTTCGACCAGCTGCCACCCCTTCAATGCCATATCCACCCAAAATTTGCAATCTACGAGTTTGGCTCAAAACTTGTCGGGCTCGCCGCTGAGATGCGGGCTGAGCTTTTCGAACGTTGGCCAATTCTTGACAAAATTGCCCTTATCTACAGGGCGTGGGACGCGCCCCCGACAGAGGATATTTCAAAATGGCTGATGGACATCCCGGACTCAAAAGGTGACTCCAGTGACGATGATGAATATCCCCCACAAGGTATGAAGCGACGCAGAGGCTCAAGCATTCACATACCTCAGTGTAAACTGTCTGGTACTCCCAGACGGATAGAAACTACACCCCCCCCGTACTCCCAGGGCAAGCTGGACCCGGCCGGGATATATCTGTCCCTGGTGCACCCAGGTGAGCTGGAGTATATCTGTTCTGAGACTCCCAGTTCCAGTAAACTTTATCCTGCGGAAAATTCCAGGGTGGGATAAACTGACTACAGGAGCTGAATATCCATCCACTGGTACTCCCAGGGTGGATAGACTTGAGTTGGTAAGGGGACAGCAGGTGAATCTGAAATATCCATGCGCTGAGACTCTCGGTGGGGATAAACATGGAATATCCATGCGCTGAGACTCTCGGTGGGGATAAACATGGAATATCCATGCGCTGAGACTCTCGGTGGGGATAAACATGGAATATCCATGCACTGAGACTCTCGGTGGGGATAAACATGGAATATCCATGCACTGAGACTCTCGGTGGGGATAAGCATGGAATATCCATGCGCTGAGACTCTCGGTGGGGATAAACATGGAATATCCATGTGCTGAGACTCTCGGCGCAGATAAAATACACACATTCCCGCAAATTGAGACACCATGAAAATGAGCATATTTGAGCACAAGACATTTACATTACATCGCCATGTGTTATTACCGGGCTCTGGTAGTACGTCCACCTCTAGGAGATATATCAGCTACCTTGACTTGATTCCCCATGAATATCACTCACAAAGCTGGTGCTTTCAAGAGCTCAATAAAAAGCAGGCGGAGCTCCTTGCAGACAGTGACACATTGTTGGGCCTCTGCTCCTTGAGGCTTTTGACGCCTCACCACACCCTTTCCCCACACATTGACCGCCCATAACATCACCAACAGTCCCCTACCACCACGCTGGAGATGTGGTTGCTCCAAGAGTCCATCCAGCCCCTTTTCTTCACGAACCTCTTTATCTGCATCCTTCTGCTTCTTCCACCATTTCCACATATCTTCACCAAACTTGGCATCACCTATCAAGCCATCCACATCAAACAAACCTTCTTCTTGCCAAGCATCAACCCAGACATCCACCGCAGTTGGTAATCCTTCAACATGATGAGGCACCCCATCCCCGTCAACAGCCTTCCCTAATAATGCCTTCTCCAGTGCCCAATAATTATCAACCACTGCCCTCCAATCTGCCCCGAAGCTTTGAAAGATGTGAGCATCCTCACGGAGTAAACCACATGAACTAGCCAGAGTTAACAGATCTTTAGGAATCCTTGATGCTTTCCCGATCCAATCCCTTTTCAGCTCGGCTTTGGCTTTAGGGCCAGCGTCTTTGGCTTTAGGGCCGGCGTCTTTGGCTTTAGGGCCGGCATTCTTGGCCTGCCCGCGCTTTATCTGGTCTTCCTCCCTAAGTACGGACCAATTAAATTCAAATTCAAGTTGAACTAAGAAATTAATGGCTTACCATTTCCGCAGGCTGTTCCTAATTCCGCTGCAAACTTCGCCCAGTTCCTCCCACTCCTTGATTGCGAAAGAAGAATCTTGCATGTATCCAGGAAGACTTTGGGCCTCATCACTACCAGGCTCCAGAAAACAAACTTTGGCCATGTCACGCAGCATGAGACCAACAATGAGAACGGTGGTTTCGACTCGCCCATATGGCCCAACTACATCACCAAGGCCAACATGGGGAAGTGGGTCCTGTAGGAGGTATGCCTTTGCTGCTGCGAAACTTTCACGTTCTTTGTTGGACTTGGACTGCGCGTAAAACTCCATTGGTAGATGTGGTGTTTTCAAAGACCAGCTGCCCCATGTTGGCGGGCATTGGTTAGACCGCATGGACACTTGCCCTTGCTATAATACAATCAGCCAACCATCCAACTGATTCATCTAGGAACTACTAACCTTGCACTGGCTCAGCCAACTGATCATGGCTTGATAATCACCGTTTGTCGAGAGAGATCTCAGAAAGATGATGCGGTCCTCGTCGGAGACCTGGCTTGGCGCTAGCATGCCCACTGGAACATCCTTTCCTCCGCCATTCTTGTCAACGTCCATTGCGCTTCCTTTACCATCCACATCACCATCCACATCCATCATTGTGTCAGATGGAGTCTTGATACGCTTGCTTGTTCTGACTTCCACCACTGAACTCCTTCGCCTTTTCCCTTCACCTTTCTCCACCTCGCTTTCCTTGGACAGAGTATCCCAACCTTCTCGGAGACGTAGACCCATGGTTCCTTTATCCTGGCGGCGCAGAAAGTGCATATAATATTGGCGAACATCGGCAATAGGCATCTTTGTTGGTTCCCCAAAGTGTACCCCAGATATCAAAGACTTTGGGTAAATATATGCCTCGTTATCCTGTGAGAGACGAAGCCACGGTAATCTCTTCACTTTGCCGTCAGAGTCCATATCTCCACTGTTTGTCAGTATTTGGAATTTATCCCAATGACAAGTGCCTACCTGCCACCAAATTCCCATATTCACGGAACACCCTAACAATTGCTTCGCTCCTGGCGCCTGCTGGAAGATTTGGGAGCATGGGAATACCATCTTCTGATTCTTCCACAATAGCCCAGGAATCCCGCTCTGGGTCTGTATCCTTAGACTTCACTGCATCTACCGCAATCCTTAGTATTCAACTCGGTGCCAGAACAGACACCCACCTCCATACAGACCGGCAGGCACCGACTCCAACCACTCCTCTTGGAATGCCCGCAAGACATTTGGCTTGATGAACTTGCTTGGACGTTTTCCATCCTTAGTTTCATGCCTATATACATCTTACGCCACTTTATTAGGTTAAACCTAATTTGCAAGTATGGAATTCTTCAAATCTTGTTGCATATATCCCATGTATACATACTAATAATGTACTCTACAAAGTCTGACGGTGTTCGGCGGTCCCGTTTGTGAGCAATGAGGCATACAAATTGTGTCTGACCGTCATGACCGTCATGGGCGCTTGATTGACGGTCAGTGACAGTTATGACCCACGCCATGCTAGGGACATCTGAAGGACATCGCAGGCTGTGTCTACCACGCTGCACACTGGTAAGTACTCCTCCAGTGACTGTTGTGACTCTCCATGACCGGCAAGTTGACCGTCATGACCGTCATGACCATCAGCCTGACCGTCAAGTAAGCGCCGATGACCGTCAGCCTGACCGTCAAGTAAGCGCCAATGACCGTCATGACCGTCAGCCTGACCGTCAAGTAAGCGCCAATGACCGTCAGAGGTTCTCACGCATTCTCCATTGTCTGAGGTTCCTCTCCATTAAAATGAATGTATTCAGCACCATATTCTGTGCATATTTCCCTGAACCGACCTCTGAGATCACTTGCTCAGTTGCACCGGAATTCCCGAGCAAATAAGCGCCCATTGACCGTCAATCTGGGCGCCTAATGACTCCGGAAAACCGGAGCCTATCCACTGCGTCCTGGCGCAGGCAAGAAACAGCCAAATCCGCTCAGAGGGATGAATATAAAGAACAAAGTACAAAATATAAAGCTATAATTGTCAAAGCAAGACATGTTCTTCTAATACAGCCGTCACCGTACTATACAAGACATCGCTCTTATCGTTCACAGTGTTTGTGAATAAGCAGGCACCCATCCATGGCTCTATCTCGCTCACCCAGAAGGAGTATTGGCCATTTTCAGTCCTGAAGACACCAATATCCAGCCTAGCAAAAAGCCGAAGGTCGGACCAAAGGTTCCTTTCCCCCGCACCAACCTTCTTCCAATCTTCTTCCTGCCTCGTGATAAACTTGTAGAGGATATTGGTGGCGAAGCTACGAAGTCGCTCAAAGCCATGGGAACCCAACCAGAATGGGACATTGCTATCCAACATGTCGAACACCTCCTGATTGGATATCATGGACGCCGTTCGTTGATTGTCCGCATCACCAGCACTGAGAAAATAATGCGTGAACAAAAGATAGCAACTCAGAGGTGTCTCACTCACCGTAGCTTCTCCAATGGGATGATGCTTACAGGCTCCATGGACACCATTTGGGACCCACCCGCACGCGTGCCGACCGTGTAGATCAACTCGCCTCCAGCAAAAAAGCACCTCACCTCACCCTTCTGCTGCATCTCCTGGATGAGCGGTTGAATGAAATAGTGAGGTCTTGGAATGGTCGAGTTCACTGTTTGCCACATCTTTTTCGTCTTCTTCATGTCGTCCTTCACCTTTTTCAAGACTTGCCTTGCCGTGTTGTTATCATCCACCTTCCAGACATGGCTTGAGCTTGCCCCCATAGTTCGCTTGATCACAATGGAATTGAGATCGACGTTCATCTGGCGCAGTTCCTCCATGTCATTGAAGCCCAATACTGCCGGGAATTTGCCAAGGGCGTCCATGAGGCCAACAGAGCAGTGAGCGACAGACAAAAGAATATTCCTTTTGTCTGATAACCACCATAGCTGGAATGGGTCGGGAAAAAAGACGACGGATTGGCTCAAATGTCTCAACCCATTCAAGTAAGGAGCCAAGTCCTTTGCCGGCATGGCGTTCGGGCTGTAGGTGGGATCTCTGAATGAACGTGAGCCACGGAACCACCGCAGGAAAGAGATCGACTCACAGAGGATCGAGAATGAAGTCCATTCCCCCGCAAATCAGGTCGAAGGACTGGAGTTGAATCCAACCCGGAGTCTTGGATCCTTTGAGCACGAGACGCATCCACTGTCCCATGTCCATGAACGTAATGTCCCAGGCATCCTTTCTAACCCACATCTCGATGGCCAAGGCTGACTGGAGCAGACTTGTCAGGTCTGGGTGAGAGGACGAGCGGAAGGAGGCTTACAAATTCATCCACCACATAGGGCACATTCGCCAAAGCATTTCCAAGCTCCTTCGCACGCAGCTTGTCCACTGAAAAATGATCTGGCCACGCCTTCAAAAGGATTTCTGCCATTTCCTCGTCCACATGCTCTAGCCTTTTGAAGCCTAAGAGATCCCCTTCGTATTCAAAAAATCGAGAGACTGGGTTTCGAAAGTTTGGCAACCAAAGGACCTTTCTCCTGAAGCCCCTGATTTTATGCCCGTCCTTTGCCTTGGGAAAGGGAACGACCTGTTGGACCTTGGGCAGGCTGGATGCCGGTCTGACAGCCCAAGCGGTCGTTTCATGCTCTAGCACAAGCGAAGGTTGAGCGTGGCCGTGCCAGGGGGTTGGCGTGGCTGAGGGTTCCCGAGCAAGGCCAAAGTCGCGTGGATTGCGGGGCGTCAACCAACGTGTTTCATGGATGGGCGTCTCTGCGTTAGAGGGTCGTGGCAGCTGGGATGGCCTAGGGGTAAAGAGGTGTAGGGGATCTTGGGGAGGTAGTGAGATGCGCGGTGGGGAAATTGGTAGGTGAGAGGGGCCTGCTGCGGGTGGCTGCTGTGGGGAGGAAGAACGGCTGGTGTTGAGATTCAGCCGAGCCACCACCTTCTGCTCGTAGATATCGGGCGGGCATTCTGCCTTGAAATTGTCCAGATGAGCCTTTTGATTGCTCAGTTTCCCCTCCGTAATGAAAAGGTAGAAGCCATAGGCGTTCTCTTCCCACTGTTGCCGCGTGGGTGCAACAGTTTCGTCAGGAAGTTTGACAGGCTTGGGGCATGGCTCATTTCCCTTGACGCAAGGATTATCCTTCTTGCATAGAAGGTGGTGCATCGGACATTCAGCTGTGCATTTTGGGTGGACCCGGTTGTTCGGGAGGTGCTTTCGAAAACGGCTGCCTCCTTCTTTTATGAACAGGAGACAGGTCTTGGAGGCAGAGTCTTGTCCCACGGCGCGAGCAGTTTTTAACATATGGTTGCTATCGTGGACGCAGGTGTGGGGGCAGGCTAAGATCTTCATGGTGTAGGTGGAGGAGGATCGCATTTTTTTGTACCATTACCTGTGATGGTCGTGACCGTCAGATAGGGGTCATTTTTGTCGCACTTAGCTTATCAGATTGAATCTCATCAACCGTCATGTCGTTCAATCGCAAACGCTCAGACTCTTCTAGCTCTGAATCTGAAACAGGGAATCTGCTCGCAGATCCCAACTTCTTGGATGTGGAGGATGACGATGCAATGGTAATTCCATCTCTTCTTAGAGCGCAGCCTGAGCTAACCCTGTCCAGAAAAAGCGGAAAGCAAAGTTGGACCCGCTCAGATCCCGCTGCGCCGTACCCCCCATTGAAGGCAATCTCACGTCTCCTTTTTCTCAGCACGCAAAGAAGAAACTCAGCGAAGAAATCCTTCGCCAGAGGTTGCATGAGCAAATGGGGAAGAAACTTGCCAGCTTCAACAAGTACGCTCCTACGTTCAGAACAAAGTTTCGGTTGGACGAACTGCAGCCATCAACGCCAGGCAACATGGCAGAATATGCGCGGAAACACCTTGGAGATGACGTTCTACCTCAGGTCATATCGGGGAAGTGGGTTGACGCCGACGACGAGCCTCTCCTGTTCTATCTTGGACAGCGAGATAAGAATGACAACACGGAGAAGCCGGTAAGTCTTTTCACTTGTCTTTGGCCAGATATCATATTCACATGTTGTTTACAGATGGCTGAAGATCTGGATGCTCAATATGTTCCTGAGAGAACCAGCCTCGATCACCCAGGGGCCAGTTACGTCCACGATGGTCTGCCAGTAAGTCTGTAAGTTGTATATAAGAGTCCCTTTCTGATGTCTCTGACAGCCAGCCGCACTTGAGCGGCTCTGGCAGGCCACCCAAGATCTTTGCTCCCAATTGCCGCCCAAAATCCCGCCCGAGCTGACTCGGCATGGGCTGCAGCGCCGGGATGGAGGAGATGACCGTGTTATGGAATACAGGATGGAGGATGGAAGTATCCGAGAGGAACGGCGAGGAGTACACCATCTCGTCCAAGGGTGGGTAATGCAAGGACACCACGATGTACGTCCCGCACTTTCAAGGCTTTCTCATCCTCACCAATTTCATGCGGCAGAAACTCTACCTATCGGCGGACATCCACGAGTCTTCTTCAGGCGTGGCAGCGACCAGAGCGTATTACACAGCCACAAAGGAGATAGCAGGACTCCTCGGCCTCGTCGTCAAGACGCTCCTTCCGGAGCAGTACGAAAAGTACCAGGAGGCTTTTGAAGCGGGAGTTTGGTTCGCAGATGAAGATCCTGGGCCCTTCCTGGGCCGTGCTGTAGTATGGAAGCTTCAACTTAGGATGCATAAGGATAAAGCAGATGCAGGCTTTTCTATCAGCATCCCATTTGGTGCCTATACAGGTGGTTATATGATCATCCCTCAACTCCATGCCAAGCTCAGGTAAATCACTCTTCGAAAATTCTTT